GGTGTTTGTGGGGTAACGCCGGCGTCTGGGGCTGCGGGGTGGAAAAGGGAGCGGGCGGCTGGGTTTGGTGGTGCTGTAATTCCCGGGTGAGCCTGGCGGGTGGCACAGCCCGAGTTCCCTCAGCTCGGATCCTTGTCGAGGAAGCCTTGAAAAGATTCATTTCTAAAACTGCCTATTTCATTACATTTTAAAGTGTTTAACCAGACACAGAATGACCATGTCCACCTCCGTTCCAGTGAGGACTCTCCTCATTATGTGACTATCACTTCGCTCTTGCACATGTATATATTAATCTTATGGATGCATTCATAAATGTAAAAGGACATTCTTTTCTGCTTTGGAGTGCTTCCAGTTCAGCCCTACATCTTCTGATGTGAACAACTTTTTGATAGCCTCCCAGAAAAAAATAGTCACAGGAAAGGCTTTCTGTTTCAGATTTACAACATCTCTGTATGTGTTTTAAACGTCTCTGATGAGAAACATGAGACTTTATTTGTATGTACTGTTAGTCTGAAAATATTGTTTCAAAGTAAAAAAAACACACCTTTCCTGTCTGAAGAAAGCTTTAGTAAAAATAAAACCTAAACAAAATGCTCCTTTCTACCTTACCACAAGCCAAAAGCAAACTTTTATCTCGTTTGGAGTAGTATTTTAATATCTGTACAGTTTTAGATGCGTGCAGCAAGTACAGCTGCATATCTAAGCTCTTCAGCTGATCTCTCTTACAGAAAATCACTTCATAAAGTATGTAGTATTTCTAGATGCTGGTGCAAGGGAAACTTTTCTTTTTTTAAACAGCTCCCTTGTTTCATCACGTTACCTGAATTTTGGTTTTGTTTTTGTGAAGATGGCAAGCCTATGCTGCGTCAAGGCGACACGGGAGACTGGATTGGCACATTTCTGGGTCATAAAGGTGCTGTTTGGGGTGCCACTTTGAACACAGATGCCACTAAAGCAGCTACGGCAGCAGCAGATTTTACAGCGTAAGTGATAGTCTTTGAAGTCTCTATTTTGATTTTAGTCTATAGTGCTCTTTGGTGACATATAGCTGTACTGAATTACTGATTTGTTTGTTTTTCTTTAGTAATTGTTAGCTTATTTATGGCTAGCCAAATTAAAACCTAGACTTTTAGGTTCTTGAAAGCAGCTACAGTTAATTCTCTCATGCTGAACATCTATGATTGTTTCAAATATACTTAATTACCATACTAGCTTGCTAGAACACTTCTGTCCAGCTCTAATATCTGGCACTGTAGTTATAGCAGAGTTGAAAGAGTGATTTTTGTTTTGCTTCTACCAGTTATCCTCTTTTTATTACAAGAAAACTCTTGTGAAAATTCTAGTGAATTATTTCATTGATGTTTGTTGTTTGTTTGTGCTGTTTGCAGCGTATATTAATATTTGGCAAGCTGAACGCTGTTAGTAGGGGGCAATCTCTATTAAGCTGCAGAGGAGAACAGCCTTTGTCTTAAAACTAAAGTGCTAATTAGTCTGCATTATCCTGCAAAAGAGGATAAAGGAAAATGGTGAGATAGTTAAAAAGCTTTAATAAAAGCATATGAAGTATTCTCATTGCCTAACTGGGTTATAACTTAGAAGAATGTAGCATTTGTGATAAAATGTTATGATGGGGGCAGGAAAGATTGCTTACAAACTAATCTGACTGTCCAGGTTGATATGTCCCGGTGCTACTAAAATATAAATATTTTCTCTTGCTGTTTAGCAAAGTGTGGGATGCGGTGTCAGGCGATGAACTAATCACATTGGCTCACAAACACATTGTCAAAAGTGTGGATTTTACACAGGTACGAAAAAAATTTATACCCTGTTCACCAGAGAATTAAACTCTTGAATATGTTTTGCTATTAGTTACTTCTCTACTTTTTACATGTGTATCTTAACAGGCAGATAATTTTGCTCTTAAAGATTGTAGGTTAAATGTAATAAGTGTGTTAGAGGCTGTCTGAGATAAAGAACTGTTATTTTAAGGCTCACGGATGAAGGCTGGTACTTCAAACTAGAGCTGACCCTTTGTAACTTCTGTTTCAGGATAGCAATTATCTGTTAACAGGTGGACAAGATAAACTGTTGCGTATCTATGACTTGAGCAAGCCAGAAGCAGGTGAGTCTGCTTTTAGAACTGATTCTTGGTTTTTGGAGTTAAATAAAAGTTTTGAAATTTAAAGCTACTTTGTGTTATGAATCACAAAATACAAAGTTGTGGATTGTTTTAAAAATGTAGTGTCTGTAACCTTTTTAAGATGATCTGTATGTTTTAAATTTATGCTTTTACAAATGAATTAGTTTATCTATAATGGACTTCAAGGATAGCATGTTTCAGTTCAATGCATACTCATTAGAGATTGATCTAATTAAAATTTAATCATCTGAAAGAAAAAATACTTCACATACTTAAGTCTGTTTACATTAATGTTGATACTGAACTACTGATGAAGCTAGAGAACTGTGATGTTAAACTAGTGAAGCTTTTTAAATTCAGGCCATCAGATACCCAGTTTATATTTATCCTGTTTCTGGAATAAGATCTACAAATATAGTCATAAGTGCTTGAAGTAATTTTACAGTTTCTAGTAAATGAAAGCTATATAGCTTAAGAAAGCTCTCAAACTGCTGCATGACATTATTGTGTTTTCTTACATGCATTAAATATTTGGCTTTATTTTAAGAACCTGATGTTGTCAGTGGACATACTTCTGGCATTAAAAAAGCTTTATGGAGCAGTGATGACAAACAGATTCTTTCAGCTGATGATAAAACTGTCCGGTAAGAAAAAGTAACTTTCAGTTTTCTAAGCAGCTCACTTTTATTTATTGTTGTAATCTGTGTGAAGAGATCTTTTTGGTAAAGGATATAGGTAACACAGGTTTTTTGATCTTGGGTTATTATAGCTGCATGTCTAATACACTTCTCTGCTATTAGAGACATAACTTCTGTGAGAATTCTAATTCACCCCATGAACATGTCCTCTTTGATAGGAAGAGAAGGTCTTTGAGAACTGCGTAGTAGAATAAATTTTTGTCTTTTGTAATCCTAGAAGTTGCATTTATAGATGCAGCCTTGTGCATACACATTGTGCTGAGGTGTTGCTGCCTTTTCTTCTGCAGTCCAGCCTTAAAAGATGCACAAGGCATGGACTAGCCAGGCACTGGGATAAAAGACTGTGAAGAGCATCTGGAAACAGTGCAGAGTTGGTAGACATAGCACTCTTTGTCTGCCAGAAGTTCAGTAGGCTTTAGTGTTTTTAGAAGATGGCTCATCCAGTCACCGTTAAGCGTTTTGTTTACTTTATGCACCCTGAGAGGAGATGTGCTGAAACCCAGACAAACCTGGCTGCTGGGGAGATGAATTGACAAAGACCCTTCCTCAAACTATGCTGTCTGGAAGAGATGGGTGATGTGCCTAACTGCTTCTCAGCTTTCTGGCTGATATGACCAGTGTCATCTCATGCCTAGCTGTCTTACCGTTCTTAGATTTATGACACCAAAAAGAGAGAAATAGAATGGTTTTTTTTCTGCTTTGTGAAAGGAAGGATGTGAGGTCGAAGTCACTAGTGCAGTCTCCCTGTAGTCTCCTTTTCAGCTCCAGTTCTTTTCAATTTCCTGGTGTTCAAGATAGTCAAGAGCCTAGTCTTGTTTATTTTTCTTTGAATTGTAGAAATAGAAATGCAGCAGTCGGCTAGCGAACAAAGATTCTTACTTGTCATAGCAGAACAATTTCATTTATTTTCTGTTTAAGATAGCTCTTGCACCTCTAGATAGAAAGCTGTATTAGCTTAAATGAATCTCTGTTCTTTGTATAAATTGGCATTGGTACCTCTTTGCCTTGTGAGATAAAAAGGCAGAATGGCATCTTCAAGCCTTGCTTTTAGAGAGCTCTGTTTTTCCGGAGATCCTCTACAAGAGGATCCTTGAGTAGTTAAATGGTATGTGAGAGACTTACAACAAGGTTTTTAATCTCTTAAGAGGATCCTTGAGTAGTTAAATGGTATGTGTACCATTTAATGTTGTTCCATGAAGCTTCAAAAGTAGTAGTATTTTAAAATAAGCATGTGTTAAAACTTTGTCTAGATGAGAATGAAGATAAGGATGTCACTGAAAATCCAAAGTACGTGTGGAATCAAACAGTGTTCTTTGTTAGGTGGATTTTTTGATCCAAATCTTGCCGAGGATGGGAGGTGAAAAAATATTTGATTTGCTGAAGTAGTCTGAGGGTCTTTTTTTCCTTTTTGTTTCCTCTTCAGCCTCTGGGACCGGAGTACCATGACCGAAGTGAAGGCACTAAATGTTGCAATGTCAGTGAGCAGCATGGAGTATGTTCCAGAAGGACAGATACTTGTGATAACCTACGGGAAGACGATTGCTTTTCATAGTGCAGAAACGTGAGTCCAAAACACAGAATTTTCACAGGTTGAATAACGAGCTTGGTTGTGGATAAAAATTGACTGTACAAGGCCAAAATCATCAGGTTGTCTGGACTGGCATTGGTGAACATCTTTGCTTGCCATCTTGTCAGAGGCAGAGTGTGAAACAACTGCCCTCTTTTAAAATAGTGAACCCTAACTGTCAGTAAGATGTGAGACTGCAAAGGCGTGATGCCATTTTCGTATTTCACACTAATTGTAATTGTAGTTCAATAAGCTTCAGCCGGGTTTCAGTTGAGTGCTTTTCGAAGAATTAATTATCTATACATCTCTATGATGTCTTAAGAAAGCAAGTTACACACTTAAACATGTTCCAGAAAGTAGTTCTGAATGCGTGAGCTTTAGTTTTGCTTATTCTGAACTCGTTTCTAACTTGATGAGCATGATTTGCAAGTAATCAAACTTGTTTCAGAAACTGTGTGTGGGTGTATTCTATTTTTCTTAAAAGCAGTTGTGATTAGTAGAATCACAGTTTCTTTCCTCTCAGAATCATTTTGGGCTTTTTTTTTTAAATGAACTTACTAACAAACTTTCCTCCCTCAGTCTAGAGCAGATTAAATCTTTTGAAGCACCTGCTACAATCAATTCTGCATCACTTCACCCTGCAAAAGAATGTTTGGTTGCAGGTGGTGAAGATTTTAAACTCTATAAATATGACTATAATACAGGAGAAGAATTAGGTATGTTTGTCTTCTATAATCCAAAATTAGTTCTGAAAAAAAATCATTCTGTATTGCTGCAATAACAAGCTGTATGTTAACTTAAGTGTAATACCATAGCATTCATTAGATATGTCTAATGAGTTGCAGCTACTTGCTTTTATGAAAAATGTGATATGTTTGTGTTCTTGTTAATGTTGGCCAAATATAGTTCAAAAAAGTGTATTTCAGAGCTTGTTCGTTGATCCTGTCCTCATTTAAAATTGTATGTGTGTGGAGTGAGTGGTTGAAGGAACAGAGCACGTGTACTCTGTGCTACTGGTTTGCTTTAGAGTTTTGCCTAGAATAAATAAGCACCTGCTTTCTTGCAGTTAATAAAAAGTTAATATATTACCTAAATTAGAGATAGATAATAGAAGCTTTGTTTTGCATCAGTAGTTAAATACTGAGAAAGTGCCCCCCCCCCAATCAGTATTTTTTCCCTCTTAATCAGTTTCTAATTGCTAATTTCAGTTGTTGAATGAAACTTGAAATTAACAGTCTTGGTATGTTCTCTTGTAGAATCTTACAAAGGACACTTTGGTCCAATTCACTGTGTGAGGTTTAGCCCTGATGGAGAGTTATATGCAAGTGGCTCTGAGGATGGTACACTAAGGCTGTGGCAGACAACAGTAGGGAAAACCTATGGTCTTTGGAAGTGTGTAGTTCCTGGTAAGTACATGCTGCTTCCTGGTGAAACTTGGCTGCTCCGTGTGCACTTTTAAAGTAGTATCCATCCTCAGTGGTAAACATACTTGAATTTCATACAGTAACTGTACTCTCTTCTGAGGGTTTCTATATCCACTGTAATCTGTAAGATTTAAGGATTTACTTTTGTAGCTGTCATTTAAGCAATCTTCAAACCTGTAAGCTTTTTGAATATAGACACTTTGTGGATATTTAAACAAATAGTCTGATGTATTTTTATGTTAATAGAGCAAGAAATATGAAATACAACTTCTATCCCTTCTTAGAGGGATAAGAATCTCTAGAAATAAGTGTGGGTAATAGTTTTATTTTATATTGTACTTTGGTTCTCTAAACATGGGGGGGGAGGTGGAGCAATGTCTGGAAAACTGCAGGTGTGTATTCATTAATGGAATTGCTTACCCAACTGTTTCTCCTTAACACTAAATAAAGTGGAAAATTATTTTGATTAAGGTGGGTGGGGGGAACTGAAGATGTTGACTGTTTTTGTTTTGTTATTTTTTTTTCCCTCCCTCCTCTTTACAGAAGAGGAGAATGCAGAAGCAGCAAAAGCAAGGACCACCCTTCCAGGAACTGCAGAGGAGGAAATAGGTAATGCACTGAACTGCAAGCTTCAACTCAGCTAAGTGGTAAAAGATCAGTCAAGATGGTAGCATTCTTTAGTGTGGAAGAGGTAGTTTTCCCAAAGTACCTTCTGGCATTTTTTTCACTCTTTTCAAAATATCTTTGAATTCATTTTCCTGAAAATGACCATGTGATAAGTGCCAGACTGAACAGATGGGGTAGAATCATATAATGGTTTGGATTGGAAGGGACCTTAAAGATCATCCAGTTCCAACCCCCCTGCCATCAGCAGGGACCCCTTCCACTAGACCAGGTTGCTCAAAGCCTCATCCAGCCTGGCCTTCAACACTTCCAGGGAGGGGGCATCCACAGCTTCCTTGGGCAACCTGTTCCAGTGTCTGACCACCCTGACAGTGAAGAACTTCTTCCTAATATCTAATCTAAACCTCCCCTCTTTCAGTTTAAACCCATTTCCCCTTGTCTTGTCATTAGTTGCCCTTATTTAAAGTCCCTCCCCAGCTTTCTTGTAGCCCCTTCAGGTACTGGAAGGCCGCTATAAGATCTCCCTGGAGCCTTCTCTTCTCCAGCTGAACAGCCCCAACTCTCAGCCTGTCTTCATAGGAGAGGTGCTCCAGCCCTCGGATCATCCTGGTGGCCCTTCTCTGGACTTGTTCTAACTGGTCCATGTCTTTCTTATGTTGGGGGCTCCAGAACTGGACGCAGTACTCCAGGTTGGGCCTTACAAGAGCGGAGTAGAGGGGCAGAATAACTGCATCAGGTTAAATGGGAAAACAAACTGGTCTTTAAGCGATCCTTGCAATATTTCTTTGGTTTATATATCTAAGGTGAAGTTAAATAATAGCCTTTTTACTTAATTGCAGAAGATCTTCCCTCTGAAAACTCAGATGCAGTGTACAGCTCAACTCCTGAAGTGAAGGCTTGATTATTGCAACTGTTACATGGCATATGGACATACGAGACTAAATCAAGTGAACAGTGATGAACAGCAGCCTTCCAGAGTGCGCTGTCTACATAAGGCAAAGACGGGCAGTAATTGATGAGGATGCGGTGGAACTGGTTAGGTGTTGTCTGTAAGAGAACAGAGTATCCAAAAAAATTTAAAAATAATTAAAAAAAAAAAGACAAGTAGTAGAGTTTTGCTATCTTTTTTGCATAACTGCCTACTGTCTTTTCAAAGAAGTGTGCAAACCAAGATCCAGTCTCTCCAATTTCAGTTAGACTCATTGTAGTGTGTTTTCTTTACTATGGAGGAGATACAATGGCTTTTACCCATTTTTTTTTTTTTTTTTCTTGAAAGCTGGAAAATTTGGCTGTAGTTGAAAAGAACGGATTATGTACTAGAAGTATTTGGTTCGGGTTTTGTTTCATTGTATGCTGCTTCTGAACGTTTAACTATTTTCAGTTATCTAAATAAAATTCCTCTGAAAAACTCTTATCTTACTGTTGAGCGTTGGGTTCATGGAATAGAAAAGCAACCAAGTTATTTACGTAATCCTTTCCAGCATCTTGGTTTTGTACTATACAGAAGGAAAGCAATAAGAATGTTTTAGTGTTGGTACAGGGGGTGGCAAGTTCCTTGATCTGTAAGCTTTGTGTCTTTTTATTCTTTAAAGTTTGAATGTAAATGTGAGTCTCTTAAAATCAAAACCAGTGAAAACTCCTAAATTAAATGTGCTGCCTGAAATACTTGGTTGTACATTAAAATCTCAGAGGTTGACTATGACTCTGTATAAAGCTTGGGTTTAGTCCTCCAGACTGGATAAAATTACTCTTTAAAGGTTACAAATGATGTTTTCTTCATTAAAGAAAATATTGCCATTCTTCCACTTGTCACTTCTTCTAATGTTATGCTGAAAGGTTTACATGATGCACTTTGTATGGAAAGGAGAAAAGTTAGACAGGTGTATTTATTCATATACCTTTTGATTTTTCATATTCACGCTTTTTCCTAATATTCTTTTGAAAAGGACTTTTTCCCAGGAGGGCAGCAGTGCTATCACCTTAGAACAATGAAGCTTAAGATTTGAAAACTGGGGTATAAAATGAAACATGGGCAATTCTGTCTGAACATAAGAAAATACTTTTCCATTGTGAAGGGCAGTCCAGCACTGGAACTGGTTGCCTGGAAATGTTGTGAAGTCTCTGTTCTTGAAGACACTCCAAACCCAACTGGATGTGGCCCTAGGGAACCTGCTGAAGCTGAGCCTCCTTGAGCAGGTGGTCGGGCTTGGGTGGCTGACAGAGGTCACTTCCAGTTTCAACTATTAGGGGAAGTAAGAAGCAAAACTAAGAATGATACCATGAATCATGGTTTAGTGCAATAGTAATATTAAGGATATAGAATCATAGAATTGTTAAGGTTGCAAAAGACTTCCAAGATCATCAAGTCAACCCAACACCACCTTGCCCACTACACTATGTCCCTAAGCACCACATCTACTTGTCTTAAATACCTCCAGGGATGGTGACTCCATCACCTCCCTGGGCAGCCTGTTCCATTGCATTTTAACCCTTTCAGTGAATAAATTTTTGTAATATACAATCTAAACCTCCCTTGGTGCAACTTGAGGTCATTTCCTCTTGTCCTGTCACTTGTTCCTTGGTTGAACAGACCCACCCCCACCTCTTTCCACCTTCCTATCAGGGAGTTGGAGAGAGCCAGAAGGTCTCCCCTCAGCCTCCTCTTCTCCACGCTGAACAACCCCAGTTCCCTTAGCCGCTCCTCATCACGCTTGTGCTCCAGACCATTTACCAGTCACCGTAACTTATTTCACAGACTTTATCCCAAAATTAGTTTTGTACTTAACCTATTTGAATTTTACTCTAAAAACAAGCAACTTGCAACCCTCTGATTTATAGCTAATTGTTTCAGCTTTATCATTAAATCCGTTAAGGTTTATGAGGGCTCCAAATCTAGTACTTCAGCCTAGAAGCTGTTCATTTTACAAGCTGAAGGATGTATTTAAAATAAGAAACTCCACACCCCACCCCATGGTGAAACTTCTTCCAGGTTGTGGTCTTTGTGCCATATTTCCAGTAGGCTGTGCAGTGTTTTATGGAGAAATCTGGAATATTGTCCTGAGGTTTCAGAGCTCTGACCCTTTGCTGCTTTACATGATGGTGTTGCGAGTGTGGTTTCTTTGCTAGCACTGAGCAAACAGGGCTAAAATTCCAAGAGAATATCAACAATATTTAATACTTTTTTCATGCGAGTTTGTGTCATTACATGTCCCTGCTCACTGCAAGGGGGTTGGACTAGATGACCTTTAAAGATCCCTTCCAACCCAAATCATTCTAAGATTTTATGATTACAACTCTTGGGGGAAAAAAAAAAGAAAAAAAGTACAGGCCATGAAGTTGTGGCTTTGTTACCGGACTTTGATTTTGCAGGTGTTTCTCAGAAGCTTTACAGGGTTGGTAAGTTTATAGAGCCCGTTGTGTCCGTGCGACACTAGTTTCTACTTGAAGACTGAAGAAACTGGAAGCTGCTTGGACTCGTTATCATCAAGACACAAGTTCGGTGTTGGGTACTGTAACTTGCGGACATGCGGAACGTGCCGTGTTGGTTCTTCGGACACAGACCCAGCTTCTTTTCTTGTGTTGTGCTTGCATATTTCGTGATCAACAGGTTTTTATTTCTTATACGTGCATACCTAAGCTTTAAGCATTAACCAAACAACAAGATCCATCAGTACCATGGCAACACAACAATGTGGCTTGACATTTCGTAAAGACAGAAAGAACACTCTGCTTACTAAAAAGTCCTTCTCGCTTAAAAGAACTAGCAGTTTCAACTATTTGATTAGCAAATTTACCCTTACATACTTATTACAGTACCGCTGAAGGCACAGTCTGTCCCCCTAATCCCCGTCACCCAGCGGCGGGGGGCGGCCTGAGTCACCTCGTTCCCGGCAGCTCCGGTGCGGTGAGCTCGGCACTAAGGCGAAGGCGGCGGGGGAACACGGTTCCCCAGCGGCTGGAGCAGACCGGGCAACCTCACCCGGATCCGC